CAGCCCGGTATTGCCTTATCCAAGGTTAGCTCTACCGCCGCTCACACACTCTCCCCTACCTGTAATGTCTCTCCCCATCCAAGGCAGACTATGTCCTGAGGGAGATCCACGAAGGTATTTGCAGAGACCATCCTGGCGCACGCACCCTGGCACACAAGGCACTCCGATAAGGTTATTTTTGGCCAACGATGAAGCAAGATGCATCCCAGCTAATCCAGAGATGCGATAATTGATAGCAACACTCCAATCTCCATCACCAGCCTGTAGTTCCCCTGAAGCCAATCACCAGCCCATGGCCATTCGCGATGGGGGATGGACATCCTTGGCCCCTCCCCCACTGTGGTTGCTTAGAAAAAAGTTTCTCCTGGTGGCGGTGGACTACTTCACCAAACGGGTGGAAGCTGAAGCTTTGGCACGCATTACTACGCATAATGCCTGGAAATTTTTCTAGAAAAGTATTGTTTATCGATTCGATATTCTGCACATCCTCATCACAGATAACGGGATGCAGTTCACCGATCGAAAGTTTGAGGCCCTCTGCTTCGACCTGAAGATCGACCATTGGACCATGACAGTACATTGACCCCAGAGCAATGAGTAGCCGAGGTGACCAACCGAACCTTGTTACATGGCCTGAAGACTTGGATAGACCAGGCCAAGGGGAGGTGGGCCGAGGAATTGCCAAGCATACTCTGGGCATATAGGACTACTCTGCGGACAGCCACCGGTGAGACACCCTTCAGCTTGACCTACGGAGTTGAAGCTATGGTTCCTGTAGAGATTGGCTCTCCCACCCTCTGGATCGAGCTCTTCGATGAAGGCCAAAATGATGAGGACCTCCGCGCAGAGTTAGACCTGATCGAGGAAGCCTGCAACCGAGCATATGTCAGGATGGTAGCACAACAACAGAGGATGGAGAAGTACTACGGCACTAAAGTTAGCAGACGCGAGTTCAAGATAGGTGACCTCGTCCTCCATCATAGTGTCCGCGCCTGGAGAAGGAAAGTTCGGACCAAACTGGGAAAGGCAGTACAGAGTCACCAAGGTTCTTGGTCCGGGCACCTACAGGCTCAAAGACCTGGATGGCCGACCAATATTGAGAAGTTGGAACACAGGAAACCTTCGGATGTGCTATCAATGATTCAGTATTAATAAAGAGCACCTTGTTCAAGCAAAATGTTGAGCACCTGACACACCACATGCGCGCACACCACATTGAACACACACGCCACTACACAACCATGCTACACGACCACGCTACACGACCACACATGTGTAGCTCGGTATAACCCATTGACTCGACTGAGCTTTGAACGGCCTGAGCCCACAACGCACAGCTCGACAGTGTATTACCGACCTACCTGACTCAGCTAACCTCCGAACAGCCTGAGCCCACAACGCATAACTCGGCAGCGCATCACCGACCTACCTGACTTAGCTGACCTTTGAACGGCCTGAGCTTAAAGCGGAGAAGAACGGCCCCGCCCCTCAGGGTCCGAGGACGGTCAACCAAACTCAGCTCGCCTACCGACTAAGTCGGCCAGAGCTAGCCGAGCAACGGCTAGCCCTCAAAGGGCCCCAAAGGCTCCCGAGACCAGAAACTGAGCATCCCAAAGACGAGAGCTCAAAATGCACTCCCGCTTCACCAGTCGGAGGCTAAAGATCTCGGCCAAACCAAACCTTGGCCAAGGCAAGGCCAAGGAAATGAAAATAAAATATATAAGTTGCACACAAGTTTGGAACAAGAAAATTTCATTAAGTTAAAGCAACCAGTACATTAGGCGAAAGCTGGGCATACCGAGCCATTACAAGAGCAACAAAAAGAAAAGGAAGGGACCCATGGTAGTTCAATCAACGGAAGGGAAGTTGGTGGCCTCGCCATCCCCATCTTCATCAGCGTCGTCGCCTCCACCTTCCTCACCAACAAGCTCATTTGATGCCGGGGGGGTTTCATCGTCATAGGCTTCCCAAGTCTGCGCAACATTGGCTAGCTCGGGACAGTGGCGCAGCGCTCTCCGCCGAAAGACGTTAAACCTGCTTCATAGGAAGCCAAAGCATATTGATCCATGTTCTGCCGAAGTTCCACTAAGTTCTTGTGCTGCGCCACCGCCTCCTCGGCGACCTCTTGCTTCAGTCGTTCCCTCTTTTCCTTGAGTTTGGTGATCTCGTGCTTCAAACCATGGACCAACTCTACTTTCTTGGCCAACCCCACGCATCAGGCCGCCGAGCATCAGCATCTCCAAACATGTATACATAGTTATGTCTATCTTGTGGATCATGCTCAGAGCTGACCTTTCCTCCTAAGTAAGCGCCGAGCATTGAGGTTGGGGCACTCTCGTTCTTGGCTCCTGTAGCATGGCCGAGAAGGGGAGAACCCCAGGACAGTGGACAAAGAAAAAAGTCTCCTTCCAGTGCTTCATAGAAGAAGGAGCCCTGACCAACACTTTGACGTTCTTCTTAGTTGAGAAATAGTAATAGCCATGCTGGTGAGGTTTGAGCTGAAGAAGGAAGCTCACCATACCCAGGGTCAACTCGATATCACGCACGGCACAGTAGGACAGAAGGCCGATCAAAAACCTAAAGGAGTTCGGAATCAACTGCACTGGCAGTACTTAGAATCATGCAAGTACCTCGGAAACCCCTTTGTTTAGAGGGAACCTCAACCTGGCTTCCAGATTGTTCTTGTATACACAAAGTTTGTTGGGCCGAGCATCGGTTTCCATCTCACCGTGCTACGGGCACCTCATTCGGAAATCCTCGGGGATGTCAAACATAGCTCGGATCCGAGCCATATCCTCGACGTCCAACGCACAAGGTGTGGTCCCAAACCAGCGACCAGCCCGCAACGGAAGCTCGACTTCTACACTAGAGGGACCAACCTCGGCATCCTCGAAAACCCCAACATCGGACTCGTAATCGGACCCACTAGAACCATAAGAGCTAGAAGCGGAAGAAGAATGGGAAGACGAGGAAGACATCTTATCGAGATTGAAGCCAAGGAATAAAAATAAAGCATCGAGCAATGATGACAACACCCTGTCGAGCTTTCCCAACAACTCTTCTCGCAAATGGCAAAGGGGGAATGCCCCTCCACCCATTCTTATAGCCCACAGGGACGCGAATCAACGCCAGATCTACGGTAGAGATCAAGTGCTGTCCTGACAAAATTCGGGAAGACCAACAGACGCAACTATTACTGCATGCGCAAAGCATTGGAAATCAAAGCAATGACTTTGACAATCTACGGCCAGGGCATTAATTGCTTCGGTCCACCTCGCAGCAGCGGTCCAACCACCGATGCAGGTGCTTGAGGTTCGCCCAGGCCCACCGGGTCAACCAGTTCCCCTGATTTCCTCGAGACGCCCAACAGAAAAGGAGGCCTCGCTCTGTCCCAACCGAGCATCCCACTCTTTGACTTCAGAACTGGGAGAATGGTGCTCGGATCACAAAATTTCAAGTACAAGTTCCTTGGCCGAAGAGCATACCCCCAACTTTGAAGCTCGACAAACCACAATCGAACATCATAATAGCTCGGCACCGGTGAAACCCTCAACTTCAAAGCTCGACAAACCACAACTGGCCATCATAATGGCTCAACACCAGCGAGACCCTCAACTTCAAAACTCGACAAACCACAACCGAACATCACAACAAACTAACACTTGGAGGCCCTCGAACATCACAACAACCTCGTCACTTGGGGGCCCTCGAACATCACAACAAAGGTTGAAGCTTCAAACATCTAATTTGACCAAAAGACGAACGCTTATGAGGAAAGAAATTAAACAGTAGAATTTGAAAAGCCCCAATTAATGGGTGTAAATGATGGGATTAATATTGGAGCATTAATTTAAATTTCAATATAATTATAAAAAAATAGTTTGAATTTGAATTCCAAAAGTAAATGATTTGCATCTATGTATCAGTCTATATTGGCTGATTCAAACTCAATACATTAGATACAAAGTTACAATTTAAAAACCGACAATAGGAGGAAATGGAATGACATCAATATTGGTCCCTTTCACTCGTGCCACGTGCCGTTTGCCTTGAAAACCAAAACATACTATGTCGGGCATATTGTATCCATAGTTCGATACAAGATTGCCTGGGAAAATACTTAAATCTGTGGTTGTTGCTAGAAAGTAGAAATGAATGAGCATGACAAATCGGGTTCAGAAATGGTCTGTTTCCTTACAAGATAGCCTGGCAAGTATAATCACTTATCCATTTCTTTAGCGATCAAAAAATCTAGTTCATGACTCATGGGCTTATACCTAAGTGTAGGTGCACGTTATAAACAAAAAGTATATTGCAACTCTTAAACATGCAGTTGCTCTAAACCACTCATTAAGAAATCAAATGGTAGTCACTATCAGGTGTGTCAATTGAACTGGATTTGGCCCAATCTGATTCAGTCCAATATGCGTCCACTAGGAGTAAATTTAATCCAATTCAATGAATATTTTAAACCATTTTGGATCCATCCAATTTATTGACTGGACCGTCCAATCTGTTCAAATTTATTTTAATTTAGATTGATTCTAATCCAAACCTGAACACCTATATTCTTCTATCAATGGACCAGATAATGGCTCAATACAACCCAATATAATATAAATTCATTGCAAATGCCGAATGGACCAGGTCAAATCCAATCCAACAAATTCTTTGGACCATCAAGTCTGGATTGATCCAATTCAATGTCTTGTTTCCAATCCCCCAAATCCATTGATACCCCTAGTCATTACTTACTACTACTCACTACAGTCGGGAATCACGTGTCGGAGATTCCATCAAGCTACACTTAAACACTAACGCCAAATTCTTTGGAACAAATGATAAGAGTCCTGATCTGCTTCAACGTGGTTGTTTATCCCGTAGTGTAGACTCTGGACAACTCACTCAGTCGATTGGAGAAATGGCAAAACCATCAGAAAAAACATAATATAAACAACCTGTTGCCCAAGCTCACCAGTCACCACTGTAAGTCTGTAACGACAATGGAGAAAATGGAACATCAATTAATATCTCATAATTCACCCATACCAACTTGTTGATTGTTAGTTTATTTTTCTATTTAACCTTCTCATCTGGAGGTCAAGCATTCTTTTCTTGCAAACTCCAATCAAATTGAGATGCGACACATTTCTTAACAAAAGGAATTGATAGTTCTGAAATGAAATTGTGCAAAATGGTGCCTTCGGTCAACTCCAGTATCAGATGAAGTTTCGGATGTCCAATGACTTGACGTCAACCATTTCCTCGTCCTTGAACTCCTCCCTAGAATAGGACAGAAATCAATGTTCAAATAACAAACTAAACAACAAATCTACATACACGGTGGTAATAGATGCAAACATAGTATGATAAGTAATCAATGTGAGTATTCAATTGAAATCAGTCGATCAGGATAACATGGGGCTTATAAAAAGTAAACTGGCTGTGAATGCACTGGCAACATACCGTTTCTTCTGAGTTTCCATAGCTTCAAGGGCATCTTTCTTCAGCTCCTCCAACTGCCCTTTAGCAATTTTAAGTTCCAACTGTTCCTCATACTTTGGCAAATCTTCCCTCCGAATGCCAAGCCTAATTATATTGATTAGTACAGAAAGAACAGTAAAACAATCTACAACCATTCTCTTCTATATCCCAGAAACTTAGGAAGCAACAAAAAGACATCGGACATGATCATTAGTATGATACCTTTTTTTTTTTATGGAATAGTAATATCATCCCTTCATAATTATCAAGGGCACAAGGCTATATTAGGTGTCTTTTTTCTTTTCTTTTTTTTTTTTTTTTTTTGACAAATAAGTCTGGTCTATGCTACCATGTGTTATATTTTTAATTTCCTATTTTTGTATTAAAAAACCAAAGAAGCTAATAATAATCAATTTTGCATATCATGACATTTAAAACATTATACCATTGAATTTTTTTACTTGCCAATATCACTTTTAACCATCCCTTTTTGCCTTGCCAACGCATCAGCCAAACTGTTGGCTTATCTACTTGCCAAAAACCAAAGAAAGAAAAAATGTTGGCTGATCTGTGTCCAGTTGTAAACTGTTATTAGCTCTCCAGCTAAAAACTTCACTTCCTTGATAATGTCTATTCCCAAGTGCTCATAATGTTGTTCCTTCACCATCCCACCACTACCTTTGAATCCTCTTTCCACAATGTTTATAGCTTTTGGATTTTGGCATTCTCCATCTTTATGCCATGGTATCAGAAAACATTAAATTTAAGCAAATACGTTGAATCTTAGCAAGTTTACATTACAGGTCATGATGCAGCAGTGCCAAGAGAACTTGGAAGTGCACATATATTAAAGGTAAAAACCATCATCATCATCATCATCATCATCATCATCATCATCATCATGTCATTGTTGTCAATGTTCAAGCAAAAAAAGTGGATTTATCCATAATATTCCTGGTTTGCAATTCTATTTTTATCCAAGATCATCATTAGTGCATTAGGCATGGCATGTATTAATTTAAATCCTTCCTTTAAAACATAAGGGGAAAAATTATAACAATACCAAATTCACTATAGGCAGGGGTGATCGTTCTTGGCCCGACCCAACCCACAAATTTCCGGGCCTGGGCCCCAAGTTTTTGTGTGCAAGCCTGGCCTGCATCAAGCCTGGAAAATTTTGGGCTGGACTTGGGCCCAACACTTCAAGCCCAACCTGGCCCTGGCCAAGCCCACAATAAAAATATATAATTATAACATTATATTATATATGTTATATATGCAATTATATTTTATTTTATCTTTTATTAAATTTTTATTATTTTATTTTTTTGATAAGTAAATAAAAATGTTTATTACCATATGATTTACATACTTGAGTTGGCTCAAATGAGGCCCGTGCCTAGGAGGACAATTTACATACTTGAGCTGGTTCAAATGAGTACCGTGCCTTTTTTTGTGCGTAGGCCCAATTTACCATGGGCTTGTTCCATTTTTTTTGCATATATTACATTTTATTTAATTTAAAATGAAAAATTTAAATAATTAAAGTTTTATTATTGGATGTCATAGGTCTAAACTCATTTCTCATTAGGCCGAGAAAGCCCATAAGCCTGGCCCAGGCTTGTGTAGGGCCGAGCTTGGGCTTGCAAACTAGGCCTGGGGTGCAGGCCAGGCCGGGCCTGGGCCTAGGCTAAAGCACTTATTATTAGAGCTAAACCTGGCCTGGGCCCGGCCCGGCCCATGATCACCTCTAACTATAGGTACAAATCTGAACCTCAACAAGTTAAATTATGCCACAAGAACCATTAAATGGGTCAACTAGTAGGGTTCAAATTCTGGAGTGAAACTTACTTCTTATTTATTTTATCAAATTCGGCTATAAGAAGAGCCATCCCCTTCTTGTCAGACCTTAGAAGTGGCTTCTTAATTTCATTCTCAACTTTCTCCAACGCATCCATCATCATATCCTCTGCACCAAGGTCATCAGTGAGGCCTCTCCTGCAAAAAATGTTTAAATAAGACATTAGGTACAACCTTTTTTTCCCTTCTTTTCCTTTTGCTTTTTATGGATCAATTACATAAAATAAAACTAGTATGTAAGAAGTAATGAATTAGGTTTCATTGCAAGCCATATATAGGTGATGCCAACCAGCAGGAAAGAGAAAAATAGATCAAGAAGAAAATAGAAAGAAGAAAGAGAGAAAGCACTAAGAATTAATGTGGTTCGGCTCGGTAGCCTACATCCATGGGAAGAGAGAAAAATATCCACTATGGGAACAAGAAATACATGACTAAACTCTCTACAGACTCACAAGAAAATATCCACTCCCACTCAACCCTAATCTCACACAACCAATGGCTTAAATAAGCAAAAGATCCAATTATATCAGAATTTCACATAGGCTCCTCTTCCTCCCATATATACATAAAGTTCCCAAAATTTATCAACACTACAAATACCCTGCAACCTCCAATAGGTGAGAGATGCATAATTGAGTAGTTCCTTTACTAATAAATACATTATACATCATCAAATAGGAAAGCAGAAATTGGCACTTTATCTTCAACTTTCATATGTAAATTAAATAATTCAGGCTAAATTTACAAATCAAGAACATTAATGCTGAAAACCCAAGTTAAGAAGGGCCAAACCAGCATTAACAAATCAAATGGATAACCGGAAACAAAAGTGAGGGGGAATGTAAGCACATACTTGATTCGTATCTCCTTCAATGTCAACAGATATGTTCGAGCATCTGGAATACCTTGCGTGCGTGTCTGAATTGTGTATTGAATCCGTTGGGATTCTGAGAACAAATCTGCCCTGCATGTTGGACATGGAAAGGCATGCAAATGTTTCACTGGTACAATATTCGCAAGGGAAAATTGCATATTGTCTAATGCATTAATACTTAGTACCAAAATAAGTGAATTGACTTGCAGCATATTGGTTGAGAAGACACCTATGAACACTTTGCTCCTTATTGTAACAAAGCCATAAGAAGACACCTTGACAATTCCCCATGTTATGCTCCCCACCCTATATTCATGGAAGAAATTTTGGCCCCAAAGATCTTGTTACATGTTCAAAACAAGCACTTTCTATGGGCCAAGTGTTAAATTAAAGCATCTGCTGCATAAATTTGGAGCAACAGGGTTAAACTTATTCCCCGTAAGCTCCCTTTTGAAGGACAAAAAGTATTTATGAACATAGAAAAAACTGGTCCATAAAATTGCTGATACCAGTTCCATAATCACTGTGTACCGGATAACCCAAGCTCTGGGATGATTAAAGCTATAGAGTCTAGATCAATGGGAGTGACCAACATCATATATAGAGTATTCATGAGCATACGTCAATCATATCTAATGAAGATTTCTGGTATTTATGTACACAAAAGATTCCAAATGCAAATGAAAATGCTTACTTTTCTCTTACAGTCTTCATGACCTTTGCATACTGAGCAACCGCAGCTGGATCATCTGGATTTATTGTTATCTTCTCCTTCCGAAGTACACCCAGGGCTGTATCAAATTTCTTCTTAACCTCCAAGAAGATATTCTTCAACATCTCTTTTAGGCAAGACACATGTATACAAGTCAGGAAAACAGATCATAGAGAGGCCGGTAAGGAAAATAAGAAGAAAAACACAAATGTCACTCACCATCTCCCTTGAGGGCTGGAGGTGCTGCTTCTTTGGCAAAGAAACGGACTGGAACAACATGCTCCTGTTTTAGAATTATCTGACCGGAATACAACTACAAAAGCACAATAATGTGATGAGACAGAGCAAGTAACTAGGAAAGGAAACTAATGAAGAAGGAAGCACAACTTCAAAGAGTTAGTGGGATGTGAATTTAAATATCAAGAGCTTCATCCAAAGAGAGTAATAATAGCATACTAGAAATGGGACACTGGATACTGGCTATGGACAAGTTAAAAGTTTCATCTGAGGCTTAATGCTGCCTAAGAACATGTCAATCTTTCAATAGAAAAAAGGACAAAAAAGAGAAGAAAAATCAGAACTCGGTAATTCTTTAAGGATTGCAGAAATTGACATGAGTTTTTTCATGTTTACTGCCTATTGCTATATTTTACATGGTTGAATGAGTTCAAGTTCATGTGGGGGCATTCTCATAATTTGACAAAGAGAATATGCCTTGATAAGGTGGAATGGCAAAACAGGATTTATGCAGCTGATCTCCTATCATTGGGACAATGCTCTTTTGATTTTTGAGTTGCATAATTGTAGTTGAGTTGAACAGTGGACACAAGCAAGCATCCCATAGTACATAATTAAGCATCATCTACTGAAATGAAAGCACAAATGCCTAATAACCTCAAGAAATTGGCCAAGTTAAAGATTCACAAGTTTATCCTTTTTTTTGAATAATTTTACATGTTTATCTTCTTACTACAACTTTTGTTTATGGGCTGTATTTCTTCCAATTGCTGATATCACCATACCTTCCATTTGGATTTAGTATTTCCATCTGAAGACTTTGGAAACAGCCTCTTTGTAGGTGCAGGAGCAAGGTTGTGCACACCTGTCCCTCCCCAGATCCTGCATTGGCAGGAGCCTTGTGCACTGGTCTGCCCTTATTTCCTCCACCTGAAGACTTCTAAGCATTCTAATTTGAATGTAATGAAACATTTTATGCATATGGTGCTCAGATGATGAAATGATTGTAATCATCTTTTGCAATTTGTTTTCCACCATACTAGAGATGGGAGAATTATTGTAGGCTAAATGATTAAAAGGACCAGGAGAAGGTCAAGTATTTTAATTGAAGATGTAGGAAAGGAAAAAAGGACTATGATTTAACAGAAGCTTTTTTTAATCTTTTCAGGCATTTTGTTGAAAAATAACTGAAAAAAGAAGAAAGCATTATTTTTTTTCAGTAATTGATAGGTAAAATCAATTGTGTTAGTATATAATAGGGGAACGATTTGTTTAGTACCCTGAAGCTTAGGGTTTACTAAGAAAATAATAGGTAAGAATCAATTGTTTTAGTATTAAGTTATACTGCATCCATGATCCACCATTCTTATACTCTTCAAATACCAAAACAAGTAGACTTGTCATGTAGATCACAAAAATCTTAATTGAAATCATTGCATGAAAAGGTGAGATTCGCTATCACTTACTGATCTCTTGTCCATTTGTTACTTGCATCTGGGTTTGTTCTTTTTCTATTTGGGTGCAGGTGGAATGTTGTGGAGAAGCATTAGGGCTGTGGTAATTTAAATAATTTGGGAAGAAGAAATCCAAGAATTTTCAACGACATAGAAAGGAGCCAGGAGGCATTAATTGAGTGCATTATTGCCAGAGTAGCTCATTGGGCCAAGACCATGGATATATTCTAATTTTTCTCAAAAAAAATGACATCATTAGGAAGTGAGGACAAGCAGAAAGTACTTCATCTAAAAATACTGCAGTCTACAGGACTTGGATGCCACTAGAAAGAGGGTGATATTGTAGGGGCAACCTGGGGATTTCAGGAGTGGAAGGGGGGAGCTTTTAGAAACGAGGAAGGTGATATTGTTGCTTTGTTTTTGGATCCAATAGGAGTGGGAAACTCCCTAAGGGCTGAAGTTATGGCAGTCATGGAAGGTGTTCAAAGGGCAAAAGAAATGAATATGGGGAAGTTGATTATTGGAGGAGATTCAAAATTGGTAGTTGGGTAGTTCTAAAATAGAGAGGCTGCATTGTGGTGCTATGGAAATGAAGCAAAAAAGTTCATGTGGTTAACTAGAGATATGGAGTTGAGGGTTTCTTGGATCCCAAGGAAAGATAATAGCTTGGCGGGTGCTCTAGCAAAGCAAGGGGGAAAGGGAACAAATGTTTTGGGTACAATTGTAACTCAATTGTAAGAATAATTAAAGGACACTCAGGGGGTAAAGGTAAGACTCCTTATCTCCATAAGAGAGTTTGTACATATATAGCACAATCTCTTTTTATTAATACAATTCTAACAGTTACTAATAAAAAAATATTGAAATCATTGCATGGAACTAATGTAAATAAAGTCATATGGCTTTCAGAATTCAAACCAAGAGGCTAGTCAAGGCAACAATAAGAATCAAGTGTCGGCCAAAGTCACAACGAATGAATGCAGGAAATGGTCCTGTATCTTTAAACCCCATGGAGAGGAAAATTCAATTAACCATGAAAAAAACAATAAGACTTTCTTCACAGGTCCAACTAAGAAGTCATCAAGATGCATCAGAAAGCTATTTTCCACAATGCCCAACTGCTATGTCTAAATCTTTCTACATGATTTCAATGCTTTGGGGAAAAAAGAATGTATAAATAACTTAATTAAAACTCTTTTAGCCAAACAATTCTTTAATTTTTTGATGATTAAAGAGTCCTCTTTAGTACTTAAGGGTATTACATCGAATGACAGAATGGAAAATCTGAATTTAGATTTGTTTGCTTCCAATAGTTTCCATCTATGTTACCTAGATATGATTAGGACACGGATTGAACAGGGTTTTGGATATGGAATTTACACTAAAAATGTAAGTTATCTGATACAATATGACACCTATGTACAAGTATCTGGGTACCATAGGTTTCCATCACCATGAGACCTTCAGGTGTTTGTGGAAACCCCCATAGAAGGTTTTAAGAAACCTCCACTACAAAGGTGAAGAGGGTCTCATGATCCCATTCATCCTTCACCAGCAATGCTTTGGTTGTTGAAGGACCACAACAAGAAAAAAATGATGATGAATGAAGTAATAGGGATAGAAGAATGTTTATGGTCAACTATTTTATCTGATCTCAAGGAGCTATAGAAAAACTTCCAAATCTTTATAATGATAATTGAGTATGATCTTTAATGGACCCTATAACTACATAATTCTATATTTTTGTAGGGAGAGGGGAGCTTCCCAAATACATTTGATGAAATGAAATCATGCTTCCTTCTATTACAAACCAAATTACCAATATAAAAGGTTGGTTGAAAAATCTTTTTTTTTTTTTTGATTAATTTGAAAAAACCATTTCATTTGAGTGGAATCTTTTAATCAGCTCCAATTCCCATGGGAATTAAAGGAACATTTAAAGATGGAATAGGAGATCAGTATCAATTGAATGAATTGATCTTGGTGATTCAAAAGGAAAAAGGGGGATAATATGAAACGAAGGCATATTTAGAAATTACCAAATCAAACAACAAAGATGGTTCAAACAAATTCAAGTGGAAGCCATCTAGTAAATCAATGAGATGATAATTGGAGCACTTAAAAATAAAATGACTGAAACAAGATTAATTCCAATTGGAGTGCTCAATGTATTTTAAAGGAGTACATTGAAACAACAAACAAAGAATACCAAGCTCTTTTCAAACCTTCAAGGGACAACAACAGACAACAAAAGAAAATTTGATCAATTTGGAAAGGAAAGAAGAGTTTCAATTTAACATTTTGGCTCATCAGACGGGGAACAGAGTATTAAGGACATCAATGAAACATCAGTCCATTACAAGTGGCCTTACAATGCAATACTTTTCTTATGCTAATAACTGGAGGTAATGAAAGTGTTATCATGCAGGACACCAATGCCTCATGTAAAGAATGGTGAGATGATATTATAACTGCAAGTTCAATCTCAAGCTCAATTACAATCTATAATTACATAGCAACGAACAGAAGTTTCTCCCACGTATCACTATCTTACCAGAAGAATGAAGTTAGAACTGGATTTTTTCCATACATTTTAATCAAATTCCATTTTATTTGCACTAGACAAATCTACCAACAGCATTTTCCACCGAAGCTGATCAACATTTTCCAAGTAAACATAATCCAACACTTGTTGATTCACCAAAGCAGAAAGGGAAAATAAAATTTATTATCCAGAAAAATGAACTCAAACCCTAAAAAGTAAAAAGCAATTGCCGATCATTCACATATTCCAGTATCAACCAACGGCATATACGATCAATCTGCTACGACTAAATACCCAAATTCTATGTTTTCTCGTGGGGTAATCCTTCAAATTACGCTCAGAATCTCGTGAAGAAAAAAAATTAAACAATAAGAAGGAGAAGAACAGGAAGAAGCTGAAATAATGAATGCAGGGTCTGAAGTGGATACCTGTTTAGATCTGGATAGAAGACGAGAGGTGAATGCCATGACTGGAGCTTCTCTCGGTTGACGTTGATCTTCTGTTAGGATCCTAGGTTTGGGCGCGACAAGTTAACGAGACCTCTTTTGGTGGAGTTAGTGAGCGAAACCGTGCAAGCGAGGTATCGCTCTCGCTCTGAACCTCACGGAATTACAAATTCCTAAATTTGCTGATGGAACGTTACGTCGCTCTCAAATTCCCGGAGCCGGAGCGGGCCGAGCGGCTCTTTGATAATGATAACAGCTGAAATGGCTGAACTCAATTACTTATTATTGCCATGCAGCTGTGGCCCGTTTGGGAGGGGCTGAGCTGAACATTAATGCTAAGCTTGTTCAGCTGCTTTGAGAAGCTCTGCTTTGACTTTGAGGAGTTCATGGGACGGACGGGGCTTTGCACGTACGATAAGAGCAATAGCCTAGGCCCGGGCCCAGCTTGGCCCAGGTTTGATTTCGGGCCATTGTCTTTTATATATATAATATCTTATATTAAAAATAATATGTATACAAATTTATTTTATACATTATATAATACATAATATTATATATATATATATATATATATATATATATATATATATATATATATATNATACAAATTTATTTTATACATTATATAATACATAATATTATATATATATATATATATATATATATATATATATATATATATATATATATATCTTACCCATTTATAAAAAAGAAAAAGGGATGAATCGTCCAATACCCTGATTTTATATTTCTAATCCTACCCCTCCATGATTTTATATTTCCAATCCTATCCCCTCTTAAAATGCTTGAAAATATTATTAATATTTATTATTAAATAAATAAATAATTTATTAATAATATTAAATTTAATATTTCTGAAAATAAATACAAATAATTAATTATAAATAAATTAGTATTAATATTTATCAATTATTTCTAAAAATTTTACTAGTTGATTGTTGGTAAAAGATATTGAAATAATTACATTTCTAATCTAAAAATTATAATTGTGATTTCATATAATTATAAATTATTGACAGTTTGGTGTAGTTTTTGGAAATTATGGATAGTTTATTGATTATTCAATAGATTACTGAAATTATTGAAAATTTATTGATTATTCAACCAATAAACAATAATTGATTATTCAGAAAATTAGCATAATTCTCGTTATTACATTTTCAGAAAATTATTGATTAATTTTAATTGAAAATAACAGATAAGTTAGTGCAATTTTGGAATTTTATGACATTTTTTAATTTTTGGAATATTAAGGAAAATTAATTTAATTATTGAAAGTTTTATTATTATCAATGTAATTATAATTATTAAACTAAAATAATTGTTAGTGTAGTTTAACTAATTCCTTTTTTCATAATCTCAAATAGTAATTCCTATTATCTAATATTTTTGAAAATTTAATAATAGAAAAAACTGTGAATCTTGATTTAAAATAATAATTATTGTTACACAATTAACAATTTTCCATTTTGTATCAATTCCAATAATGTAATTATTAAATTACACACGTTTCCATTATTTGAAAATAATAATTACTACAGAATTATAAATTACAATAAAATCTGTTATTTGAAATTACTGTAATTACAGTAATTTTGAAATACAGAAATTCCAGTAATAATTATTAGTGTAATAATTACAGTTTGTTTCAAAATAATTTTATTACACTAATAAATCTTATTGGAATTTTATTGTAATAATTCAATTACAATAATTATTTTAATGAAAATTTTATTTCTAATTACAGATTTGTTTTTCATATTAACTTTATTACAGAAATAATTATCT